AAGTAGATTGCCCAATCTTCCTTCCGAGGAGTGGCTGGTGGGTTTGAACCATCAGCCTTCTGGTTAGCAGTCAAATGCCTTAGGCACTACGTTACCAGAGATGATATGAATACTACCAACAAATTGTTCTGTAAAATCTTTTGACATTGGATTACAACATTATTAGTAACTGAGTGGAAGATGTTTTTAATTTTTCTCCTCCTCTTCCTAGCTGTACCTATTGGCAGAGCTAAAGAGCTTTCTAACACTTGAGCAAGGCAGAGTCCAGGCTGAGAGACCCAGGGCCAAAGAGAGGCGTGCCTGAGGGCATCACGGAGGAGAGGCTGTCCTGATCGAAGAACTGTATCCTGATTGTTCCTGAACCTGAATTGCAACCTGTTACTTCCCTAATAAATCCCGTAATTGTGAGTATTGTCTATGAGCTCTGGGTGGCTATTGCAATGAATTATTGAACCCCGCAGAGAAGTAGTGGGTGCCGTGGGAGGGACGATTGGTGTCGGAATTGGTAAAAAGACTGGAGGGTGGCAGCATGTCTGATGGATAGGAATCAGCTCTGGGCTGTCGGTGTTGATCCTCCTCCGTCCCCTTTCTGAAGTTAGAGGAGGTCAAAGGATGCCACCCCCATTCCATTTTTGCAAACACTATAAAAATTTTATAGACAGTCATTTCAGTGTCACCCTCACACACACCCTCACCCTCTAGTGCCACCACTGCATGTATGCTCAGGGATCTACATCTGAAATGGACAGCGCCATGAATTTTACATGTGTGCACTCATTCAAGAGGAGCCTTGGTGGTACAGTGGTTAAGCACTTGGGTGCTAACCAAAATGTTGTTGGTTCGACCCCACAAGCCACTCTGCAGGAGAATGATGTAGCAGTCGGCTTCCATCAAGATTAAACCCATTCCTGTCCAGTAGATTCCGGCTCACAGCGCCCCTAGAGGACAGAGTGGAACTGCCCCAGAGGGTTTCCAAGGCTGTCAATCCTTAAGGAAGCAAAGCCCAAATCCAACTCACTGCCACGGAGTCAACTCTGACTCACAGCGCCCCTAGAGGGCAGAGTGGAACTGCCTCATAGAGTCTCCATGCCTGTATAATCTTTACAGAAGCCAAAACAAAAACAAAACCAAAAAACCCTCACTGCTGTCAAGTAGATTTAACTCATAGCGACCCCCCCTTGGGTTTCCAAGGAGGTATCACTACGGAAGTAGATTGTCCCATCTTCCTTACGAGGAGTGGCTGGTGAGTTTGAACCGCCAGCCTCTGGTCAGCAGTCAAATGCCTTAGGGACTACGCCACAGAAGCAGGCTGCCACATTTTCTCCCACAGAGTGGCTGGTGAGTTTGAACCACCAACCGTTTGGTGAGCAGCCGAGAGCTTTAATCTCTGTTACACCAGAGCTCCTTCTGTAAAAGAGGACAGCCTTGGAAACCACTGTATGGATGGACCGTATTTTGTTCATCCATTGCTCTGTTGACAAACACGTGGTTGTTCCCACCTTCTGGTGACTGTGGCAAGTGCTGCTGGGAACACAGTTGTACAGCTGTCTGACTCCCTGCTTTCAGTTCCCTTGAGAGTGGACTTGCTGAGTCATGTGGTGATTCTGTGTCTAATTTTTTGAGGAACTGACAAACTGCTTTTCCCCAGCAGTGGCATCATCTTCCACTCCACCAGTACTAGACGAGGGCTCTGGTTGCTCCACATCCTCACCAACACTGATTTTCTGTTCTTCTGAGATGAGCCATCAGAATGAGTGTGAAGTAGC